CAGAAAGGGGCAGACAGGCGTATCTCCTTTGCCCAGGGAGAAGCTCCCCGTCCCCAGCCACGGAGCCGCCGCCAGGCCCGCGGGCTCCCGTAATCACTGCAAACAGTCAACCAGCCAGTCACACGGGCTCATACACCAACACAACATTACAGGCTTTTTACACAGTATTACACCACATCTTATTATCCCATTCAAGTCCTCTCTATTAGCTCAATTGGATGGTGGGATTTTCATTTGTAAATTGGGGGATTTTAGATTAGCTTGTCTGTCAGCGACGAAATGCCCCCCGAGACTGTGAATTATGTGACCAATCACAAACGAATCGATGCAAGCTGAAACGATGGCGTCAGCATAAAAAAATAAAAATAAAAAGAAGCAACAATTTTAACCTTATAGAACTCCTAAAACACAGATTTGCTGCATGGACATACAAGCAGATAACATTCTAAATATTGTCATTTACTCATTTCTTGATGCAAAATGCAGCTTGTGGATTATATTATTACCCACTGATAATATGAAGGTGGAGCTATGATTATGTGTGGCTGGCTCATCATCATTAGCCAAGAAAAAATGGCTATACCTCAGTTAATTTTTATACATATTTAGCTTTTATTATGGTAGTAGCTGAGAGTTATCCACAACATACATCTAGAGCTAACTGAAACATAAGATGTGAATGAGATTGTGCATAATTTTATTTTTAGGGTTTGTCCATAAAAACCATAACTCCACCATTTTTTAAAGAGATGTTCTTAGTCTAAAACTCAGGCATGAAAGGCATTCCTTCAAGCACTGCTAGGCTTTTAATTTCCACATAAAGATGACAACAAGCTGCGTTGGCTTTATGCAGCAAATAATATTCGGGTCTAATAGGGAGTTATTAAAGAGATAAATATTAGCAGCTCCACACACCTAGCAGCAACATTATGCAGAACTGAAGCTGGTTGGTTGAAAGGAGACAAATGAATTCTCCTCCTCGGGCCTTCCGTTCAGATCCAGAGTGAGAAAAGGACCAAGAAGGCACCTCGAGCGAGCCGAGAGACCCGGCAAATTATGAAAATGTCTCTCTGTGTCCTAAATGGAGGCCGAGCTCTTTAATGTGGCACAAAATTAGAACCTGAGGGAGGAAATGTGGCCTGCTTGATTGGTGAAACCCCTCCTGGCCCACTACAGCAACCCAGCCCCCCCTCCCTTTTCAAAGCACACCAGATATTATCCTGTGCCTAGTGGGGCTCTCTTGTACCAGGAAAAGTGGAGGACCCTGGAGAGAGCCCAAGGGCGTCTATAAAGGTGTCTAATTTGTCACTTTACTCCTCAATTATTTAAATGGATCTAAGAAGGGAGCGGAGAATGAGGCTTTTTCTTGCTTCTTCTCAGTCAAAGCAGAGAGAGACCTTTCTCCACGGTAGCCATTTTCAATTACGCTCTGCAGTGCTGCCTTTGATACAGAGAAATACTGCTGCGGCGAGGGTTCGTATCAAATAAACAAACATGTGGACACAAGATAATAACAGGAAGTTGCGAATAATATGCAGTTTGTTGTGACTATAACATTGCACTTTATTTTTTTTAAATAGCAGACCAAAGCAAATTTAACAGATACTGTTCATACAACCTGCCCTCTTACAGCCAGAGAGACTACTGCAGGTGTCTGAGCAAGAAATCACCAAGTGAATTAATCCTGAAATACAATCCTCTGACCTCTAATCGCAACAATATTAGCTGTTGTTTGTTTGATTTATTCTAAGGGAGAGGCTGTTTAGAAAAGAGTCCCTGACATGAGCTCACAAAACATAAGCTCACAAATTATACAGATTTTTTGGCCACACATTGCATCACAGCAAAAGCACATACGGTTTATATAATAAAGTATTATTGAAAATATTTCACATTACGAGTAAGCTTAATAGATTCAGAATAGAATATAAACAGCCTTTATTGTCCCGCAGAGGGGAAATTCATGTGTCACAGCAGCATCAGTACAAAGGTTCACATGCTAGTTACTTTACAAACTATAGACAGTACACAAAAAACAAAATTAACACTGACTATATGACTACTAATAATAAAAAAACATAATATGAAGAGTTGTGCAAGAATAAAAAAATATGTTTTGTTTTAGAGACAGTAGACTATCAGAATCTGACATTAGGAATCAGAATTTGCCTGTTTTCAGTGCAAAAGTAAAGTATCACAGTGCAGACGAGAAACACAGATGTGCAACTACAGCAGAATTATTTTAAAAGTTTAAAATGGGTAGTAACAGAGCAGGTGATTGCTCAGATTAGTAATAATATAATGTATGAGATTAAAAATAGTCCTTTTGATTTTTATCCCAAATTGCAAAACACTCCTGTCAGATGCAGTGTCCAAGTCCTCCAGAGAGCTACGTTCAAATACTAGTCCTGGCACAGATGAGGCTTGTCTGCCCTTTATTAGGTGATACCAGGTGAACATTGTAAACTGTTCAAAGAAAATCACTCAACATATTAACTGATCAATGCTCAAGTAAATAAAAACATTAGAGGTGAAAATAACTCAAAATAAGGAATGTGGGAGCAACTCTGACATGTCACAAATATCTTACCTTTGATGTTTTAAAAACTGACTAAATTGTGAGCTTTGGTTGCTTTTTTCGTCGAGGCCATGTTTGTCCGTACACCGTCTGAAAATTTAGGACAATGCCCCCATCCTGAAGGCATATGAGACATTCAACTGCATTTAAGAGCAGCGGGTGATGTGCATTCCTTCAAGGAATGCTGAGCTTTTAATTAAACAATTTTACATTTCAAATAGGCCCTATCAGCAGTGATGCTTTGCAGGGAGCACAAAAACAATAGCACGGCCCTTAAAACTCAGAACAAACACTTAACAAGCGCAAATTAACCCAAACACAAACAGTAACACAACACCTGTCCAAATAAACCTGCATTAGTACTGGGCCGAATACACAAACACCAGCAAAGCAACAACACACAACTGAAGAGTGACAGCAAACAAAAACCTGAGACCAGTCTTAACGGACCCAACTCTGCCCACTTCAATTAGTTTAGGAAAACATCTCGTTTGAACCACAGTGAAGTTTTAGAAACCCTCGAGTTTAGTGAATAACTAAAACTGTGTTTATTYCAGTAGAAGTCATTTGAAACCTCCTCAAAGATGGGTGGCACCTGGCAGATGTTCTGGTTGAAACAGGTTTCTCATGTCTTGGAAAAGGGATCTGCAGGCAAAGTTTTCCACAGCGTTAAGATTCTGCAAAACTCTGTTGCCAGCTCAGTATATCATGCCTCTCACACCCTGTATTCTCTCACCCCCACCCCCAAACACTAACCAGCACACCCCGAGCCCCCACCCCACTGCGAGCTTCCATCCACAGCCAGAGAGAGAGAGAGAAGAGTGGAGATAGGCCCAGTTACTAAAGCTGCCTTTTCAGCCCCTGCTCCCGCTCGGTCTATCTGAGATCCACAGCAAGCGGAGGTGTCGCTTTTCTGCTGGCATTTCGGACAGTATCTACTTATAGACGAGAGAAAAGGAGAAAAGAAAAACAGAAGGGGTATTATCAGGGAGGGATGAGAGCAGCAAAGGCATTTTGTCTTTTTATTCCCCTCCTAAGCCCTGGGCTTTGCTCCCAATCCGATTGGTCGATACGGCCAAGGATGTAAATGAAATGCAAAGAGGAATAAGGCTGGCTTCCCATCTCCAATGTGTGCCCCCCTAAGTCCCCCCACCCCCCTGCTCTGTCTCACTCTGCACTGTTTACCGTGTTGTGTTTCTGTCCCCCCCACCCCCATTCAGACTTGCTGCTGTCCCTGTTTCCGTCGCCCCCTCTTTACCCCCTACTTGCTGCATCCCTGCTCACTCCCTGGCTCGGGCTGGCAGCTCTTATCTCCTCAGACACCCAACATTCCAGCGTCGCCGTGGCTCCCTGCCTGCATCCCCTGGTCACGGCGATTCCACGGGTTCCCACAATCCTCGGCAGCTTGCTGATTTAGGGTGGGCAACTGACTGTCAGAGACAGGRGAGAAGAGGGGGCTCTGGAGAGGCGGGGTGAGAGGAGATGGGAGGAAGAGAAGGTGAACAGGAAAAAAGTTAACTAAATGCTGAGTGATGAATGACTGCTGGGAAATGCTGAAAGAGCAGAAAATGGGTTGTTTAAGCTAAAACTATCAGAGCAATAGCTAAAAGATAAAAGATAAAATGAGTAAAATGACAACTAAAAGTAGCTAAAGGTAAGCTAAAAGTAGCAATGACTTGCTAAAAACCAAAATGAGTAGCTAAAGGTGACAAAAATGCAATCTGAAAGTAGTAAATCCAAGCTAAAGTCTAACTAGCAAGAGGCTTAAAAAAGCAAATAGGCAGCTAGAAGTTAAATGCAGTAAACCACTAGCTAAAAGCAGCTAAACATACGCTAACACAAACTCTAACTCTARCTAACAGTATCCAAAGGCGAGCTRAAAACTAAAAGTGGCAAAAGGTTAGCTAAAAACAGCAAACAGCTAGCTAATAGATAAAATGAGTAAAATACCAGCCAAAAGTAGCTAAAGRTAAGCTAAAAGTGGCCTTCCTAAAAAATAAAAAATAAAACTAGGTGTGGCAAAAGGATAGACAAAAGTGACAAAAATGCAAGCTGAAAGTAGCAAAATACAAGTTAAAAGCTAAATAAAAAAGCAAAAGGGCAGCTTGAAGCTAAATTTCGTAAACCATTAGATAAAAGCAGCTAAACATACGCTAACACAAACTCTAACAGTGGCAAAAGGTTAACTATAAGCTAAAAGTAGCAAAAGAAGCCAAAGCACACTAAATCTTCAGGAGCAGATTTTAAAGAGAATAATATTTTTGAAGGAACTGCAGAGATCTTTGTGTTTTCATATATTAATGTTTAGAACAGCATAAAGTCTACAATACCCCCCCAACACACACACACAAGAAAACAGTAGTGTGAATGCTGAATCAGCATTTACATAGGAAATTACAAAAGGAAAGAGATGTGAAAGAACTTCATCTTATTGTTTACTTACAGCAACAGATCTGACATTTAGATTTACCAAAAAGGGCACAAAAACATGTGGAAATATTTGTTTCTGTGGGCAGAGTGACAGTTTCCTAAACCTCATTGTCCAATCAGCTGACAGACGGTAACCAGGCCTTCCAGTAGAAACGACAGATTATGTGCTGAAAAGTCCACACTCCCTTTTTGTCCTTCATCACAACTAAAACGGCAGACTTCTTCAGCTGTGTTGTAGAAAGCTTCTGAGATGTGAAGAGCTGACCTTCAAATCGCACATTTTACGGCTCGTTAGCACAGAAGTGAGTGAGGCACTGCAATCAAAGAACATGTCAACGTCACAGCGAAACATTTGTTTTCCACTCTTTCCATCGGTGACCACGAGGTTGAAGGTCAACATTTCATGACGCTTGAAGCCGACAGTCACAATGTCGACATGTGTCCCTGGAGTTTGTRCAAGTGTGCTCCTGTAACCATCAAAACATTTCGCTTTTCATTGTGCTAATCTGTTTATCAAACATGTTTATGTGCAGCCCGGGATGGGGAATAAAAAAAAAAAGTCTGGAGTGGAGATTTRAGCATACGCACACACACAAAAATCAACACGTACACACACCTCTAAAAGGGTCCCTGGCATTGTGACATTTCACATTTCATTTAAATCCATGAGGGATTATAGCCCTCCTGTTAGGAAGGAAGAGAGGAAAAAAAACACTTATCAAATCCATTAGTTTAAACATTTAAAGGACCATCCAAGATAGACTGATGCAGGGATAGAGGGGTGGGGGTGTGTGGCTGCGTGGCACGGCACTGTGCAAGTCTGTCCTAGATTAAACAGCTGCTCTAATCCCCCMTTTCTGCCCCCAATTTGGGTTTCCCTCAATCTCGGCCTTGGCATCCTCATGTGAAKGGGGAGAGGAAAAAAAGAGCAGAGACTGAGGCAAAATAATCTACACGTTAAAAGCTTTGAGAGCAGAACGGAAGAGAAAAAAAGATGTAAAGATAGAACGACTGAATAGGTGAGTTGAAGGAGAGCACGCAGGGCTTAATTAAGATCAGAAAAAGCTTTCTGACGTTCTTCCCTCTGGTGGTCAGCTGTAAACATTTATTATTAAAAAAACACGACTGCTGTGGAGTTCTGCTTGATAATTAAAGGTGACTTTTAATATGTAAGAATTTCTCTTCAGACTAATTTCTGCCTCTGAAGTCAGAGTGGCTCGAAACAAGTCCGTCGAACTGAACACCGTTTGATCAGTTTTTTTCTGGAGCACCAACTGAAGAGGCTCAGATTGACAATTAAAAAACTTGAGTCATCCCTTATGTCTTAACACTTTGCCTCTRATTTAACAAGAAATATTTCTTTCTGAAGATTCTTTTCTTTGAATCTTGGACAATTTTTTGCCAAATTTACACGAAAAGCTCCTAACTCCATTACACCATTACTGTCTACATAAATTTAATATTACGTAGTAAAATAYCGAGTGAGTCAAAAGTCTCAGGACAGCCTTTTATTTCTAAAAGAAAAGGGAAAGTGACGTGTCTGAACATGGCTGCAATCTCAAACTCCACCATACTGGGTCAAAATAAAAAGGGTGTCCTGCAACTTTTAACTCACCCTCTATATCAGAGGTGCCCAAAGTGGGGCCCGCGGGCCAAAATTGGCCTGTCAAACCATTTTGTTTGGCCCACCAGCGGTTACTAGATTGTAATTATGTTAAGATTAATTATAAAATACAAGTAACTACAAGAGAYATTTAGATTAGATTTAAGCCCATATCTAGATTTGCACACCTTATAAGACCCCATATACTCAAATTTTAAACAGACCCCAATACATTTCTTCAGTCGTCTCTGCGTCCCTCTGCTTGTCTCTGTCCTTCTGGCCTTTAGCAGGATTTTTTGCACAGGAAGACGGTCTTTCTCTTCCACTCCTCATGAATTCAAAGTTGTCGGAGAACAGCATGTCCATGGGGCCTGTAGAGATGGACACACATACAGTATATTTAGGTTCTACTGTAGGAAGGATGTGTTGAACTTAGTGAATGTTTGATTATAAACTGTGAGCTAAAGACGAGGCTAACTGACCTGCTAACTGACCTGACTGCAGCTGAAGCATCCAGACACATCTGACTGAGAGCCAGGAGGAAGCCTGAGGGGAAATCGGGTCCTGCTGTCAGAACTGCATCCCCTCCCATGTCATCAGCCAGCAGGTGGAGCTGCTGAGCAGTGCTGATCCTCACCGSTGGACTCAGGTGGCTGAGGAAGGACACAGACACAGTCCTGTCCATCTCTGCAGCTTCTACAGGTGTTTGTGGCGTTTCATTCAGTGTTGTCCTTACCTCAGTCCAGTGTTGAACAGAACCATCAGCACGCAGCCTGCTGACCTGTCAGGATGGATCCTGGGCTGCCCCCTCTCCAGGATCATCTTGGGCCCCCCCACTGGCTGCGTGGTGGTGTGCCCTTTGGACATGGATGTCTCAGCTGGATATATGTGATGTCTCCACAGTTTAGTACTTTTAAGGAGGCGTCGGACGCTTACAGGGATGCGGGACCTTCTCCTGGGCGATGGAGGTGGTGTTGAAGGTGGAACTGTCACAGAGGGGGSCTCCTCATCAGGTGTTGAGAACCTGAGACTCTCCTCTCTGAGCTGCTGGTTGTCCTCCATGACCATGAACAGACGCTCCAGAAGCTCAAACTCTTTGAGACTCTGAGAGGGACTGAGACTCTGTTCTGATGTTTCTGGAGCTGTAGGAGGGTCCACTAACAGAGGACAGACCTTCTGTCGTCTCAAAGAARCACGAGGCAAATGTCTGACTGGAGGCTCTGGAGATCTGGAGGGTGAAGGTGGGGTGGGACACAGTCTGTTCAGCAACGCACTGATGCAAGCTGTTACTGCAGCACTGATCCTGTCCATCCGTCCCATCGGAGCTTGTCTGGGAGCCTTTTCMTGAACAAATACAACAAAAAGTTTATTTCTTTAGCTCCTTTAAAAACAACCATAGCTGACACAAGTAMTCTAAGATTAATGACAATAAAAATTATTTCAGTAGCAAACTAAAACTTTATCAAAGCAAAACKAAAATACAGAACAAATSARTTATTTGAACAATAAGAGTCAAGATATTCTAACTGCTGGGCTTTCAGTGTCGAATAAAAACAGCTTCATGTTTCTGATGGGTCTTACATAAAAATTAAATCTTTATATTAAATCTTGAGCTTAGATAATGAGCTATTCTGAACAAGTTTTACTGTTAATAAAACAACAGTAATTGACTGAGTGCTTGACTTCAGATGGTTTCAGCAAAGTAAGTAGCTCTCTGCAAACCTTCAAACTGCTAGCTCAAAGCAAAAAGTAACAAAATGCTACTTTCAAGCTAACAGTGGCAAAAAGCTTGCTAATGTAAGAAAATACTAACTAAAAGTATCAAAAATGATCTAAAACAAATGGCTTAAAAGTAGCTAGTCAAAAAGCTTGAAAGAAGTAAAAAGCTAAAAGCAAAAAGTAGCAAAATGCTAATAAACAAATTATCTTTTACCGCTTCTTTAATTACATCTGCAAAAAATATGGAAAACAACAGTTTGAGTTTTCTACCACAAACTGTATTTTTAAAGAGCTTTTATATATAAAATAAAACAAAACTTTTCAAAAGTAAGTGAACAAGTACTTATTTTTTTGAATGTGAATTAGTTTTGTTTTTAAATTAAATGAATAAAATATCTTAAAAAATTAAAAATTAACTCAGATATGCTGTAATCATCTGCTGAAGATACGTTTCGAAACTCACCACTCGTCCAATTTCTTATACTTTTAAGGACACATTTCCAAACAACACGTTTGGAGCAAATAGCTTTATGAGAATCACCTTGTTGGTGCAAAACCCACAGCTGTGCTCCTGTCAAGCTCTTTACTATTCCCCACAGATGTAAAGGCCCTGTCACACTAGACAACTTATGAACATATTAAAGACGTCTACGTTGAAGCTGGAATTGAAAAAATTATCAGAAAGTGTCTTTTTGGCATGTACATAATGTAATTCTAACAAACTGTTAAAATATATAACTTTTATTAGTAATTTAGACATAAAAGTGTTTCATAAGTTGGCATAAGATGTAAAGAAATGAGAACTTATTGTGTTTCTGCATGAAGATGCTATTAAAGTAACAAAATACACATTACAGATTGCTAAATTGACTTATGTGCTGAAACAAGAAAGGTTTAATTAGGTGCTTTTTATGCCTGAATGATGAGTCAGCAGTAACTGGATTAGCAGACCAAAAATGTGATTTATATGAAAATAAAGTACTGGATGGAAAATGAGGGGGAAAAATGAGCAAATGTTCATTTAAAAAATGAAGACCTTCAAAAATCCTTAGGATTTTAAAATACAAAACAAAACAATTCTGACTCCTTAGAAAAAATACTAAAAACTACAAACGAGGGGTGGCTTAAGATTCTTCTTTCAGTATTGTTGCCGGGTCTTTCATAGTGTTCCATGTAAAGCATCCAGGATCCTATCCAGGAGTTTGTCTCCGGTTCTGATGGAGTCTGTCTCTCCTTGAGCAGGTGAGTGATGACCTCTCGGATGGTCGGGGCCTGGGGGTCCGTGGGGTCCTTCTTTAAGTAGAGGCTGAAGTGCTGAATGCTGCAGGTCAGCAGGACGTCCGGACCGTAGCCCCGATGACCYGAGCGGAGCAGCCGCTCACACGCCAGAGCCAGTTTCTTGTCCCAGTTTGGAGGGTAGTCTGAGTGGGCCTCCACTATCTTTTTATACAGCTGCCAAGCAAACACACACACACACACAGACACACACACAGAAAAGTTAAAAAAAAAATACAATCATACACTATTACAGTGCTGCAAAAAAGTGCTCACCCTCTTCTTTCTTTTGTTATTGCTTTTTTTTTTTTTACCATAGATCATCAAACAAATGTTAAAATCAGACAAATAAACCTGACTAAATTTTGTAAAATGGGGAAAAATAGCCAATATAGCCACACCTATTAACTAATGAATTCAAAGAGTGTTTTGGAAAGATTTGATCAGTTTGACCAGCCTCAACTAGGCCTGAGTACTTCCAGACCTGTCGAATTAAAAAAATAATAATAAAAATATTAATTAAATCCACAAATGGACAAAACATGGTGAACAGCGGTGAACCTTTCTCAGCAGTGACTGACCATCCAAAATTACTCCAAGAGCGCATCAACAACTCATCAAAAAAAAAAAATCTCTCAAGAACCCAGATCATCTAAAGCCCTGCAGGCCTCACTTGCCTCAGTTAACATCAGAATTCCTGATTCGGGGGTAACAAAGAGACGAAGGGCAGAAATAACATTCAAGGCAGAAAACCACTGCTGGGCAGAAAGAGCACTACAGTTCATCTGTAGCAGCAGGTCAAAACTCATCGCCCAATCAGCAGTGTTAGCTTTACGTCGAAAACTAACCCACAGTCAAACATGGTGGTGGTAGTGTCATGGTCTGAGGCTGTTTTGTTGAATCAGAGCCTGGACAAGTTGTCATAATTGATGGAACCATAAATTAGATAGTCCTGAAGGAGAAAGTCCGGCCATCAGTTTGTGACTGAAGTGGACATGGGGTTAGCTTGGATGTTGTTTGTTTCTTCCTTAATAAGATAAATCATCAATAAAACTGACTTTGTCTAATATTAACTAAAGGTGTAACAATACATTGATCCACATTGATATATCAATTAAACGATTAATAGTTTAATCACATCGAGACAAAAGAAAAMTATCAGTCCATATCGTCATCTTACGCCCGATGTGATTCGATATCATATACCCATCTAAGAGTATGATTGGGTTAGATGGGCATGTGATATAACATCATACATCATAACGATCGCAGAGTTATGTGATCAAAAAAATATTGATTTAATATCGTATCGTGATAAAGCTGGGGATTTAAACCCCTAATGATAATATTTGTTTGATGATTTGGGCAACACAATGGCTCAGTGGTCATCCTGATGCCTCACAGCAAGAAGGTCTTGGTTTGAACCTGGGGTCTTTTTGTGTGGAGTTTGAATGTTCTCCTCATGCTTGTGTGGGTTTTCTCCGGGTACTCCGGTGTCCCTCACAGAGCAAAAACATGCAGAAAAGGCTGCCTTCAGGCCTAAAGAGATCTGTCATCTCAGTGGGATTTGCCTGATTAAATAAAAGTTAATAAATAATACAAATTTGAAATGTAAAAGTGTGACAAAAAAGTAAAAACATAAAAAACCAAGGAGATGAACTATCCGCCCTAAAAGATCTCATGATGTTTAGGTGAGACTCACGGTGTAGGACAGCTCGTAGAGGCGAGCTTTCCCCTCTGCCTGCATCTTCTCTGCCAGGTCAAACAGAAAGAAAGCCGTCTTCATCCTGCAAACAACAACAACAAAAAAAAGCACGCCGGCACGGGGCTAAGTGCTGGATGGATGAGCCGTGCAGATCCACACTCTCAGACGCACCACTCCCATGCAGTGATTTATGTAGATGCCACCACTGAACAGAATGTACATGTAGATGCTCTACCGCACAAGACTGGTTTATGGAGATGTAGGAGCAGGCCAGTGYGCATCGTGACGCAGCGTTTCATTCGCGCGACGGCACTGTGAATGAAATCTGTGAAACTGCTCACCTGGCTTGCCACATCTCCTCGTTAGCCACGCGCTCCCAAGATGCAGGATGGAAACTGTTGAAGCAAGAAAAAAAATGTTTTTTTTAAATCAAGCAGCTTCAGGCTAACTCAAAATGATTATTTTTTGTGAATATCCATTTGCGTTTGAAGGTTTTATTCCACTAAAATGTAATATTTCCTGCATAAACAGTAAATGACTGAGCAACAATGGCAGCTAGCACATTAGACATGGAGTTAAAGCACATCTGCACATTTTCCCCACTTTGTTGACTCCAAACACTTGACCTCTTCTTCAAAAGAATATTTTAGCGAGGTTTCCCCGGCTAAATATTCGGCTCGTGGGCATCTGCGGACACGCTTGTCGTAAAGGGTGCGGGAAATAATGTCACAGTATTCAGCCGTGGATATCTGAGTGAAAGAAGGGCTGCTGGCGACGGCAACAGAATGCGGAGTTTAACTAATTCCAGTTTTGACACAGTTATTGACAAAAAAACGCAATAAGAAACTCATTATTTTTCATCTTCAGTCTCATTTCAGATGGCTGAGGGCCTTAATGTCTGGCTCCGGCTGAATTCACAAAGAGGTGGATCACTGCAGACAGCAGCAAGATCAGTGGAGTCTGAGAAGGCGAGACCACAGAGGGAAGGACGGTGAGTGGGTTTGTTATCACCCGCTGCCACCAGGCGAAGGTGGACAATCGTGGTTTTTGACTGATTGACTCAAGTTTCTGTGTGACTGTTGGCAAAATACCTCTGTAATAGAACTAATACTTTTATGTTTAAGCTAGTAATTCATGACATCCTTTAATGACCTAGGTTTTCATGACTTGCTGTTCATCTGTAGATAGAATGATTAAAGTCAGAACAAGATTTGCTAACAACAGTYATTCTTAGATATCACTTGTGTTTATCTTTGGGTTTTCCCTTGACCTTGTATCAAATCTTGCTAAGATGACATGATGGTGTTTGCATCGACAGTGAGTAGTGTGGAGAGACAGTGACAGAGAGAGGCAGAGGCACAGAGACAGGRCAGGTTGTTCTCTGTGTTTCCTGTTGTTGCAATAAAACTCAGCTGATCATCTCACKGAGTACCTTCATTCTTGGACCACGTATTTCTGTCTTTGTTAAATAAATATTGCCATAACACCTCATAAAACATCAGATGAATTTTAATGAAACTTTCAGAAAGTAATCCAACTACAGCTATTTACTTTTAACTATACTCTCTTACTTTTAAAGAATTAACAATACTGAGATTTTTCCCCCCATACGTTTTTTTTGGCACATATCTCGTTCCACTTTTTTTGTGGACAATTTATATATCAAAAGTTTCAGCTCCTTCGAATAATTCCTGCTATAACTTTTGGTATTTCAGCAATTTATACTTTATACTACAACTTTTTTCAGCTTTTTTTAGATATCATTCTGATCTTTTCTGCTATTTTCCTGCTAATTAAAACATTTTTGTGCTTCTTTTCACTTCTTTATTTTAATTTAAGCTTTGTATGCATCTTAGCTGGTTTCTGATCATTTCAGCTGCTTTCTGTGTTTTTGCTAGTTTTGATCTATTTTCAGCTAATTTGAGCTTTTTTTGCTCAACATACATTTTATGGCAATTTCAGTTTATGCTGCAAACACGTGCTCTTTCTGTTTCTTTGTGCTAATTTCAGCTATTGTGCTATTTCAGCTACAATTTTTAGCTAATTTTATGCTAGTTTCAGCTTTTTTAGCTACAAATTGAAAGTTTTTTGTACATATTTTCTTGTTTTTTGCTTATTTTTAATTTTTGAAATCATTTTTCTGCTTGTTAATTTTAACTTGTTTTGCTTCTTTTCGCTAATTCAGCTACCATTTTCTCTGTTCAAAATTTTTTACCCTTTTTTATCATCTTTCCACTGATTTTTCACTTTTGTTTCTTACTTTCAGTAAAAGTCCGCTGCTCAAATTTGATATTATACCTTTTCAGCTTCTTCAGCAGCTTTCAGCAGAAATATTTCAGCATTGAACATTCATGCTGCCTTTTTGCA